GGAAGTGATGGCTGAAGGAAAAATTAGCCCAGTGAACCCTCAATACTTAGCAGTGTAGTGGTCATAGATGTCGTGAGAATTTCCCCTTATCCATTATGATCAATGGATAAGATTCACCTGTCACCCTTCAACAATGTCGCTATCTCTAAAACACTACAATTTGGTAGTGTAAAGGCTCCAACACGTTGACTGAACAACAACGGCAACGTTCCTTATCAGCTCCTATCAGCTGTTGTCACTTCCCGTCACCCGCCGTCGCCGTCCCCACCTCCCTCCTTATATCATTTGCTGAATTCAACGCCTAGTGATGCTGTGTCCTGCGTTATGAATATGGTGACCTTTCCATTCTAACTCCCCTTATCAAATCTTATAACCTGCTAGCAGTTCTTTTAACTTACCAATGATATTCCTGTGCCATAGCCTATATCATACCTTGGAACAAACGTTCCACTGTTGCTGTGACCCGGACTCGGCACCCATCCCTGACGCCTCTCATCAGATCTTATCAGCCATATCATTCCCTGTCACCCACCAATGATGTTCCCGTCACAGCTTCTATATCACTGCTTGGAATCAACTTCCTACAGCTACTGGGAGCGGGCGCTTATGAATTTCGTGACAGACACGTACGCACCACACACAACACACACACACACGCACACACACACACACACACACACACACACACAAACACAACGCACTGACAAAATATTAGCGGATTATATATAGTAGGATAGGATATCTGGACAAATTAGTGGTGGCCATACAAATAAGGTTCGTTGGTCGCTCCGGAGCCAATGCGCCGCGATCAGGAACTCGCAGAACCATTGATGTTTAGGTGATTGATATCGGTCGGGGTAAATGCGGTATCCTGTCTTAGGGAATCTCGTACTTATTAGCTCGGTCATTTTTCTTCAGGAGTACTATTATCAATATAATTTAATTGAAGACTTAACGTTCAACCCTCTGGAGACCTCTGTTCTGAGAGAGAAATATGAACTGATTCATGAACCTATTGAGTCTGCAAATTAGGTGCTCTCAGAAGGGATCATTCCCGGAGAAAAGGGAGTACCAGTACTCAAAAAGATTCTTTAACCACAGAGTTTTGATTAACATTTTCATGTGAAATGTGAACCTCTTCCTGGGTTGATTGCGGTGAATCTGATGAATTGAGTTGGTCGTCCATTGCACAGCTAGTTTTTAAATGAATGTAACTGCTGGGAGTCAGTCCATTGCGCGTAACTATTTCAACTGATATTCACAAATTGATACATCAACGGGTTCGCAGTTCTACCCGCGAATTCGTTGATGTATCAATTAATGGATAATCGATTTCTCTCCTCCCCATCTTATGAGAGCCATGGATGCTTCGGTCTCCGCTGTCGCTGCGTGTTAAGGCGAACGTCGGTCGCGGTAATATGGTACCCCTTCACCTCACATATCCCCGAACTAACCTCAGCTATTCTCCGCTCAGCCTTCCAGGTCACGCCCAGCTGCTACGCGAATAGCCCGTGCAATGGCTCTGAGTGCACAGAATGGCTGTGTTATGTTGTGGAGGGTGTTATGACTATCGACGCTACCACAATTTGATAATGCCACTTAATCGGTTCAGTTCCGATTGCGGTCGATCCCTTTTCTTCTCATCTTATCGCAGCCGTAGACGTCTTGCCGCCGCAGGCGCTATGTGCTCCTAATCGCGAAATCGCCGTGCTCATCTGGTACCCCCTCACCACAGCATATCCCACTGACCCAATTTAACCGTCGCCCGCTCTCGCACGTGGTATGCAGCCACCACGTGAGCAGCTGGTGCAACGTAGGACACTACGCCGCCACTGTTCTTACCACCGCCTTGCTCGTGCTCACGTCCAGCTTCCGAGCGAGCAGCTCGTGCAATAGCACAGAGTTTATCACAGTGGTTAGCTTAGATAGCGGGAGCGATTCACAATCCAAACAACTTATTAGTTCGTTGTTGTCACATAGATTAGCTTGCAGTTTTGCTAGCGGTTCTTTCCTTCTCTCTTGCCGCCTGCTCCTATTCACGCGTACGCTACGCATCCCCTAGCTGCACCCAGTTTGCTCGATTTAATCCATCTGCCTCCTTCCCCTGCATGGGCTCAGATCCGACTGAGCACGCGCAAGGGAGTGAGGATGGGAAAAGGGGGTCACTCGGTGCTCACTCCCACCTTTCTCACCTCACCCAATTCCGTACTCGCCACTCCACCTTCCCCCCCCCTCTCCCACCCACCTTGCACCTTGCACGCGTTTTTCCAACTGCCACGCGAGCAACCCGTGCAATGGCTCGGAGTGTAGTGGTTCTCTTATATACCCCCTACCCGCTACCCCTTCCCTCTGCCTCCCTCCAATACAGTGCTCAGCTCCGGCTGAGCACGTGCAGGAGAAGGAGGCAGGGCGACCTGGCGCCCCCACCCTGCCCCGCACGAGCACACGTCCAGCTGCCACGCCAGCAGCTCGTGCAATAGCTCGTCGTCTTATATAGCGGAGGCAGTTATCACAATCAAAACATGGGAATGATACATTTGCACCAATCGGTTACCGATTTATACATACATACAAGCCTACATACACTCTACTTCGCTGCGGACGGGGGCGTTCTCTTATATAGTGGAGAGTGTTATCATGTGTCAGGCAGTATGAGTGTGTCACCCCGTCAACGCCGTTTTCTGCCTCCTTGTTGAAGCGCGCATGAGAGAAAAAACGTAGAAAACGAGTAATACGAACGATATGATACAGTCATAGCATTTGCTAGCTTTAACAGCTGGTGGAGAACGGGTTTGGCACCGCGCCAAACTCATCCCGCCTGATACGCCCAACCGTTCACTGCGAACTAAACTATACCTACGTATCCACATACAAACATACACTGCTCCACATAATGATAATTCCACCCAAGAACCTCACGAAATCCCGTCTTACGCCACGTTTTCAAAGATGCTGTAAAATAAAAAACATGGCGATTACCAATGCCCGTTCGTACGCCAACACCAAATACCAAATGGAAGGAGCATTTTTTTCTCTTCATTTTTTTTGAAAAATGGTCACTTTGACAACGACGCAAAATCATAGTTCCACCAAACAAATCGAATGACCCAACAACAAGTTGACAACAGAATGAATAAATTGTTAAATCAGTAATCTATAGCAGTCCCATTTCTTCGAATGAGTTGGAAAATTCGGTTGCCTAAAATTCGGCTGCCTATGCTCGAATAGAGGTTTTCAATAAGATTTTGGTTGACATGGCGCCATGCATCAATTGTTGACTCCTTAAGCCCACGGACATTGTGGAATCGTGCATTGTTCGCATAGATTTTGCGCATCATGAAGCCCCACACGTTCTCGAGTGGGTTCGAGTCGGGGCTATGTGCTGGCCAGGGCAAAAGAGTGATTTGGTGGCGCCGGCTGACATGAACCGGTGCATTGTCTTGCATGAAAACAGGGTTTTCTTGCCGATTCCTATGCCAGAATGGAAGCAATCCTCGTCGCATGACTTTAATATAATCAGGAGAGTTCATTTTCTTAGATACGAAGCATAGCTTCACACGTCCCGTTGATGCGATGGCAGCCCAAACCATGACGCCACCTCCTCTGAAGTTCCGCGCGGAGAAACATGAAGCTGGTCCTTCCTCAGGTCGCGCCAGTAGCATCGGTTTCCATCTGGACCAGTTGAATTTTTTCTCATCAGAGAACACGACCTAGAAAAAAAAACCTGAAAAAACAAGACAGACAAGCAGAAGAGCAGCGCAGCTGGAAGCTAACTTTACTCCAATCGGCTCGGCAACATCCTCTAGCAAAGTCAATTCGGTTCTCACGATGCCTTTTTGTCAGGAACGGCGCCTTCCTCATTTTCCTTCTGAGAATGTACCCCGACTTCGTTAGGACACGGCGAACAGTTTCCTTCGAGACATTAAGCTTCAGAGATGACCTGATTTCCTGGCACGACATTGTGGTGTTGGATGCTTCTCTGAGGATACGGCGCTTATCCCGATCTGAGAGCAAAAGAGGACGACCAGGGCTCTTCTTGATTCCATATCCTTCTGGTTCCCTGACAAAATTGTTGATTACTTGATGACTGCGTCCCAAATCCCGTGCGACTTGACGGTTCGACAGTCATTGTGCCTTCTTTGCCATAATCTGCCCTTTCTCGAAGTCCGACAGTGAATGTCCTCTCGCCATGATCTAGAAAAGGTGAAACGTAACGGTGATGAAGACAGCTTCACCCGAAAGAATGAGACGCAGTGGAAAAACATGAAGTGGAACTATCATTATGTGGAATTGTCAGAGTGTGAATTTTCAAAAAAATGAACAAAAAAACCTTGTTCTTTCAAGTCAGTTCCCGATGTTGGCATGCAAAGTGGTATTGATTATTACCTGATTTTCTACTTGAGGACATTTTTGAAAACCTCATGTAAGACGGGATTTTGTAATATTTATGGGTGGGACTATCATTATGTGGAGCACTGTACAAACCGACACACAAAGTTAGTGGTTTATAAAATGAAAGGATAGTCCATTATTTTCATTCTCAATGATTTTTCTTTGGCTCCCTGGGCATGAGTAAAGGAGGCGCACCCACTCACGTCGCAGTACGAGCCTTCAACACATTGCACGTCTTTCGGACTAGCCTGGTTGCTCCCCGATGCCGTCCTTGCAACGAGGACCCGGGCATATTTTTCACTCTCGTCAGCGTCGGCTCCCGCGTACGCCGTAGCATTATCTCGAAATTCATAATCGAAAGGCACAGTTAAACATGGTGAAGTGTCATGGGGTGTTCGTAAGCCGGCCCGTCACGAAGGCCTGTCACCTGCAGTCGTGTTTGTCGGTGTTCTGCTTTGCCCGCAAAAGGGAGCAGTTCCAGCAGTTCCCAGTGGCACCACATGGAGAAACGTACTTTACCATTTAGAAAGGGACATAGTTTCGACATAAAAACAGGTACAATAAGAATATTCTTGCAATCTAAGGTAGCTGTCATCGACGAGATTCAAATGCTGCGAGACGACCAACGCGGATGGGCGTGGACACGAGCATTACTTGGTGTGGCTGCAGACGAAGTACAAGCTCTTCGTTTCCATTTCTATATTTTTTGTTGAACTCATCGTTAAGGTAATCTTTAGGTGCATCTCTGCGGCGAATCGGCAGCCATCAACATAGTAAAGAAGCTACTTGAGCCCATTGGAGAGCACGTTGAGGTTGGCTGTCTTAGACATCTCCCTATATTAGCGTATTTCCATGTGTGAGGAAGCAGTCCTTAGGAGCGCTGTATCGCATTTTTGGTCAGTAGGGTCAGGACAAGTGCAGTTTTTTTTCGCAGTGGGTACAGTCTGAGCGCGTTGAAACTAGTGCTTCCTCTGTTCCTCTGGTTACCGTGAGAAGCTACTTGATCTCTTAGGAAACCCCATTCCTCAAAGACTATATTCGTAATTTGCGACGAAAGGATGGGAGAGTAGGACAATCTGCGAATCGATGTTTTAGCAGAATGTCGATTCACCCCAAAACGCTAGCGATTGGCGTCCATTCTCCCAGAACAATATCGTCTCGCCGGGCTCCCTATTCTCCTATTCTTTCGTCGCGAGGTATGAACGCAATGTACTCCCTTGTACTTTATTAATTCAATGTATTTTTCAGGGTATCTATTTCATTTTTTTGTAGCATAATGAACTAAAACCGTTCAGGTACGGTATTATGAGAGGAAGACATCATTGACGATAGCGAATCAGGGACTAGGATCACTGGATAACGTAAGCGTTCACAAAGGAATTTGGAGAAAGATTAAAAACATTTATTGAAGGTACAACCTGGTGACTGCATAGTATGCTTCAGCCGTAAGGCGATTTACAGCATCACGAAAAACCTTGAAAAATTGGGTGTGAAACCTGCTGTTATTTATGGAGATTTGCCGCCTGGCACTAAACTTGCTCAAGCAGCAAAGTTCAACGACCCCAGTGATCCATGCAGTGTTTTGGTATGTAGTATAGAGGCATGACGTACCAGTTGTTAACTTCAATGATGATTTTTTTAGGTGGCCACTGACGCGATTGGGATGGGTCTCAATCTGAATATCCGTCGAATAATCCTGTCATCATGTACCAGACAGGGCGAGCTACTGCCCAATTACGCCGCTCTTCAGATTGTTGGAAGAGCTGGACGGTAAGCATTCCGCTCGAAGCAGAAAAACGCGTAGTATGCTCTTCTTACAAGATTTATTCTTTTTTGTTTAAGTCAGCATCTAAGTCTACTGCGTGCAATCCTACTGTACAGGGGGGGGGCAAAAAAGTCATTTTGCCTCCATGACTTTCAAGGCGCCATAAGTTACACTTTATTAAATTTTTATCGGACATTTCTACTACCATATCAAAGAGCACATTAAATACTATAATGATACTCCGCCGCAGCCTTCTGGAGGAGCGCCATCGAGAGATTCAGTCGCGCGAAAGTGAGTGGGTACCGGAGTTGAGCGAGATCGTTGATTTCTCCGCCACCGTAGACCACCCTCTTGAACTCCGCCCGACTAGGTAACCGAGTGGATTCAGGTCAGGGAACATACTTCAATATTACATCTTCTTCAGGTACGAAACGCCCTTCCATTCGAAGTAGACGGGAGTTTTTCCAAAACCTTTTGATTCCATGTGGTGGCACCCAAACCTGTAGCAGCACAAGGTCTCCAAGAAGGTACGGGCGACCACATGTAGGGAGGATATTCTTCTCGAGTTACTTGATGTAACCGCCAGCGCTCACCTTCAGTCGGGGTCTACAAAGAAAATATCGGTCTTCCCCTTTCCAGGTACCCCGGTCCATACCATCAACTCGCGCCTCGGCGAATACGGTGAAGATGACCTAGACCGTAGCGACGTTGCCGTAGCTGGTCGATGTTCTTGCAGGTCAAGAGTACTGACCTCCAGTACCTATCTGTGGATGACTTCATTCAAGAAGTTTCGCAGCTGTTTGGAGGCGACGTGAATTCCAAAGGTGTTCTCCAGTCAGGCCGCGACTGGAGATGACTTCATATTTTGGCGTACATGAAGGCGATTGGCGGCAGCGTGCTCCAGCTTATAAGAGGAAGATCTTGGGTATCTTCCACTCTGGTACTCATATCCACTTCCCCTGTCTGGGCTGCGAAAACTCTGGTTGATATGTGGCTCGGCCGAAATGACTTTTTTGCCCCCCCCTGTATATAATCAGCTAAGTTTGTCTGTTGTGTGTGTGTGTGTGTGTGTGTGGTCCTTTCCCACAACTTGAGTCCAAGAAAGAATACGAAAGTGTGGCCAGTAAGTCCATAATTCTCGACGAAGTCCCGGGCTGTCAAGAGAATCTATGTATTATAATCCCACTAGTGTACTGTGTGTCTGTTGTGTGTGTGTGAGTGTGATGGTGTTGTGGTTATTAAGTGGTAAGTGTAGACCGGAAATTCATAACTTCCTTCAAAACAGCGATAGAGCACTCATGTTGATAAGTGATGTAGGAGGTTAGGCAGGAACACTATTGGTAGGTGACAGGAAGTGAAAGAGTTGATAAGATACCGTAGGGGTCTTAGATGGATAGGGTCACTAAATTCATAACGCGCGTCACCGCAACTGTAAACGTTGGTTCCAGGAGACAGGATGGGAGCATTATTGGTGGGTTGCAGGACTTGATAACAGCTGATGAGACACCATTGAGGGCCCTAGAAAGGTACCATCACCAACTTCATGACGTGCGTCGCAACGACGGTAAGACTTGGTTGCTGGCAGTGACATAGGAGGTAGGATGGGAACGGTGGGTCAGAGAGGAAGTGTCCAAATCAATGGGTGAACGTTTAGTGAGCCAAAGGGAGTGTCCAAATCAATGGGTGAACGTGTAGTGAGCCAAGATGCTTATATTCCTCAGCGACATAGTTGAAATTGATTAGACCGCTAAACTCCAAGATTTCACCCAAAAGTAAAGGCCTCAATATGTTTGTTAGTGAGGAATGATAAGAGCCACCAGCAGACAGATACGAGCTGCTCAGTGGAAGCGCTAAGATATAACGAGCTTTCACTGAGCTCGATACCGTTATCACCGAAATTCTTTCAACCGCTAAGCTGTCCTATTTCCAATGAACGGCGAGTGTTGTTAGAGATATGATAAGCACCAGGCATTGATAGAGGTTTATAGCTCAATAAAGTCTTGATACATGTTGAAAAAATTGCATTTTCTACCTTTTCAACTTTTTTATTCTCCTCCACACCAATAATTTCAGAGAAAGTATCCTTTTATTGTATAAAGCGCTAACTTTGTGTGTCGGTTTGTCGGTCTGTTTGTATGTAGCAGCCGAATCGCCCGTCTGACACCGAGCTCTTCTTCTTCTGTTTAGCTCGACTTCGCCGGGCTGACCTGGATTCGCCAGGCGCGCTTCATAATGGAAACGGAAGTTTTTCACTTACTGAGCTGCTCATATTGTCCTACAATGAATGAATCATAACAGACCGAGTAACCCTGCGGATCCTGCACTTCTGAGTACACGCATATATTGGCAGGGGGGTGGTCCTTTGGGCCATAACGCCCATACTATACACAGATCTGAGGTTTATATAGAAAGTATAGTCGGACAGTATCAATCGTTCGGTGGGTGAAGAAATCCCATTACCTGCATCGAAACGCCCATTAGTCAACGCTTGACACGTTGACGACGAGCCGTTTTTTTCATGAATTGCCCGTGGAACGGCAGGTTTTTCTTCGTAGAAACTCAGTAATTTTCGAATAAATGAATGGCTACGCAAAGTGTTTCAAAAAATGCAAAAGGTGAGAATACGAATCTCGATCTTCGACACAATTTAGCTTTTATTGCTCCAGTCTTCCGTAGTCAATCGTATTCATCAAGTTTTTCTCTGGAAGCAGATTTGGCTGAAGAATTGTCTCCGAGGTAGTTTGACCTTCTGGAGACGGATATTACATCCTCTTGGCCCCGAAAATGTTGTTCTCAGATTAATTTTATAAAAAGAAAGTGAAATAATCGCGCAGATCTTGAGTTATATAGTGACTGTTGAACAGCATTGGGTGACGCCGTTCCAACAAGACAAACTGGCTGTCGTCCACCATTGATGGAAACCGTCGTCAACGCGTTGAGCGGACATGATATTCTTGTTCATAGGGTCGAGCTACCGGTAGGGACAAGTTTTCAGGAAATTTGGTGATCTAGGACATTTTGGCGCTGGCGCCAGGCGGTTCTGTGGCAAGCGATTGTGATATTCGTGTTGATGGTGTCAAACTACCCCACGAGCCAAGTTTTCAACTAGTTTGGCGCCACAGACGCCGGCGCCTGTGGCGCGGGCACCAGGTAATTCGTGCCAAGCGGCTGTGGTTTCATTTCAGAGGGACAAGCTACCCCACGTTTACGACACCCAGGGACAGGGACAAACTTGGCTGTTCGTCCATCTTTATTCTTAGAAATATACTGGCAGACACTATTGTCGCCATCGTCCCACGAGACAGACTGGCTATCAGCCACCATTGTCTGCCATCGTCGTCAACGTGTTAAATGAAAATGAATTGCATGGCATTACCATCAGGTCCATAGTGGTATCAATTTCCGGGGAGACAGACAGACGTAGCAATTTATATAAAGTAGAAGTATGTCCATCCGCAAAATGCTCCACGGCGCTGACGGAGGAAACGATCGCCAGCCAATCTGCAAGGCGGCCTATGCAGATGATCAATCCATTTTCGACTATGATAACGGCCACCACTATATAAGGCAGCGTTCATACTTCGCGACAGCAGCGGCGATCGCAGCCGTCGCCGCGATAGTTGGTACGGGTCAGAGCGCGTCCCAATGCTATTACTTGGACTGCTCTCTGATAAATAAGAAAATCCAACTTGTGAGACCTTTTTACTCTTAATAATGGCTACTAACTAGAAACTTTCTCTACTTAAAGGCAGCGCCCGCGTTCAAATTTGATGAGTATGCGGCTCAGGTAGTAATAGCAAGGTAGCAAGAAACCTATTAATGAAGAAAAATCAAAAAAAAACATGCAAAATGCTTTATAAGGCGTTTTATACCGAATAGCGGTTGTACGTGCTCAAGGCGAAGAGAATGAGTGGTTGCACGAGTTCTCACTTGTTGGTATCAGTGTTTTTCCTTATCACCTCACTCTCACCACACGACGTGGAGAGAAGCAGCAATGGAACAACCGCACCATCAGGCAACCATTACAAATAAAGTTGAGCGTCGTGGTCGCCACGCGGGCGGGGTGTTCGACTCTTTACTAGCGATAGGCGCTATCCTCTCGCCTTTCTGAGATGCAAAACTAGCACATACTGCATCTTTATGGGGAGGGCTATGATATCCAGAAAGGGCGTAGGAACATCAAGTGAACGTGGGCGCTGCCTTTAAGAGGACCTGGAATACGAGGAACGGGGTTTCACCTTTTTTGAGGTCGGAATAAGGGCAACTTAATTTGATAGGTAAGTTTGTTTTTGTTTCCTTTGTTTTCATCATTCCACTTTGTATGAGTGTCTTGAAATTTCCTATTGGTTGAACTGTCCCAACTTCCAAAACATTTCTAATTTACAAGTCGAATTCAAACATCAAAAAAAGAAATAGAATGAGATCCACCCAGGAATCGAAACACCAATGTTTTATGCAAATCAAGGAGGAAACTTCATAAATTTATGTATGAGCTTGAAGAATGAAAGAAAAAAAACACTAGAAAAACTTTCCCTAAATGAAGCTCCCACGCTTTTTGCTCATTTCTATCCTGAATCAAAAAAGAGAATAGGAAAAAAAGCTATCAACTTCAGTCCACCTTTCCATGAGTCAAAGCAAGCTTTCATGCCAGAGAGAATTGCAATTAGAGGAAAAAAAGCATGAAATTGTGTCGATTTTCATTAGCAGCCCTCGGAAGGTCTAAGTAATAGCGTTTGGGCACGCTCTGAGGCATACCGACGATCGCGGCAAAGTATGAACGCTGCTTAAGGCAACCATTAAGGGCACTCTGGGTCATTGCACGAACTGTTCGCGTGGCAGTTGGACGTGGCCACGTGCTGGGGAAAGGTGAGGAAAGGAGGTGCGGCACGGGGTGGGTTAATGGGGGACGGGGCGTTGGGGGAGCGTACAGTGCGCTTCAACAGGAAGGCACCACTATGGTGGAAAGAAAGGTATCATGAAAGCGACAGGATAAAGAGAAGAGGGAGCAA